TTAGTAATTTCAAACATTTTTATAATTTATAACAATATTTCGTTTTTATTTAAAATATAAATATTATAAAATGAAACAATATGTTAAAAATATAATCGTGTTTCAATATAACTAAATTTAATATAAATATTTAAAAATCATGTTGGTCTTTAATCTATATTTGACTCTTAAATTATTAAAAATACCAGTATATAAAAATTGAGTATTATTTTGTTGCTAAAAATAACTTTTATTTATGTTTCGAAATCAACGATTTAATATTGAAAAATTATATTATATTTACAGAACTAAAATTAATATATATAAACAAATTAATGATAAGTTTCAAACAAAAATATCGTGTTAATAATAAGTCATGTATATAATTATATAATATTGTTTCTAAAATTGTGTTTTTAACTTGACATACAAAGTATATTTATTTTCATTATATTATTTAAGCAAACATTTTTAATATGGTAGTCATGGACTTTCATCCAGAATTGACACAAATGAAAAGTCAAAAGAAGTGTAAAGATGGTACATATAAGTTTATACCGGTAGTTGATGGTTATCCATTTCACCCACAAAATGGCAACAGAAATATATTTAAATGCTGCAGTTGCGAAGTGAAAATTAAAATCACACGGACGGAAGGTTCAAATGACAACTTCAAATACATTGAATATGATTTTGTTGACAAAACCAAAACACGACACACCCACGACAAAAAAACAGTGAACATCAAATCCACAAAGTTAAAAGAGATGGTTGAATCAAATTTGTTGATTTCTGCTTCTAAATTGATAGAACAACACGAAGAATTGTTTATCAAAGATTCAAGAAGAATGACAACAATAAGAAGAACAATCAATAAATTCAAAAAGTTGTATGATTGAAGAAAAGTTAAACGAATTGTTGTATGGTGGTAAGTATCATGTAGTCGATGAAGACAAATATTTTATTTTTATTTCAATTGAAAAAGTGGTTGAAATGAAGGATCGACAAATTGCATATGTGTTAATGGATGGAACGTTTAGTTCGTGCCCAAATGATTACGAACAATTGTATACTATTCACGTATTGTTATCAAATGGACAGTGTTATACATTAGTTCATTGTTTAATGTCTAAAAGAAGAGAAAGTGATTACCGCGAAATGTTTAGTGTAATCAATTCCTACTTTTTCTCTGTTTGGAATCATCAATTACTCACAAAAAATACTAGTGTCATGATAGACTTTGAAACAGCAGTAATCAATATCTTGTCAGATTTAGGTTGTTGTGTGCATGGGTGTTATTTTCATTACACCCAGTGCTTGTGGAGAGCACTACAAAGAATTGGTCTTTCAAGTTGTTATTATCCTGGTACTACTATTTGGAAAATAATGTCAAAATTGAAAGTTTTGGCATTTTATAAAGCAAGCGAAATAATTGATAAGTACGATGACATTAAAAAACAAACTGAAAATTGTGAAATTGATAAAGAACTAAAGATCAAAATAGATGACTTTTTGAAATATTTTGAAGATGTTTGGTTGAATAAATATCCAATCGATCTTTGGTGCCAATTTGATCAACAAGTTAGGACTGATAATTTATCCGAAAGTTATCATTCGGCTCTTGTAAAAAGAATAAGTACCAAAAAACCAACAGTTGAGACATTGTTGTTGAACTTGATGAATTTGGAAGCACTTCAATTGAAAAAAATAAAACAAATGGATAGTGGTAAAAATAATTACACCAAGAGACCAACTAGATTGTTTTATATCACATTAAACTACTACAGTCAAAGCTCCGGAAAAGAATCATTCGAAAATAATTTAGTTGAAGTTATTAATGGATATAATTGGACAAAATTATACGAGCTTGGTTCAGAACCAACATGTGTTGATATTTTGAATACTACAAATTTGACAACGAAGAAAGTGAATGAAAACTATATCGGAGAAATAAAAGACAAAGTGAAAGAAAAAGAAAGTACAAACGAAAATGAACAAATCTTTTTAGAAAAAGAAAGAAAAGAAATTCAAAAAATAAAAGTTGTTTCGTCTCTTAAAGTTGATAAAAAAGTGCAGGTGTAAAAAGTACCTCAAGCTATGTTCCATTATCAAAAAGAAAATTTGTTGGTGATGGTAAAAGGAAAAAAACACATAAAGATAATTAAATTAAAATGATTTGTTGATTTTTTAACATATCAACAATTTTAACTGCAATATATTCGCTTAATTCAATATAAAACTCTTATAAAAATTATTTATATTTCATTAAACAGTATATAGTTTTAAATAATTTACATTAAATAGAAAAAGTTTAATTTTCAAAATTCACATGGTTTTAATATAAGTACATTCTAATAAATAATTATTATTTATTAAATGATTAAATGAATAATATATGATATATTTTACATGATTGTAATCATTGTTAAAAAATATTAAATAAACAATATTATGTGTAATTCATACTCAATTTTTATATACTGGTATTTTTAATAATTTAAGAGTCAAATATAGATTAAAGACCAACATGATTTTTAAATATTTATATTAAATTTAGTTATATTGAAACACGATTATATTTTTAACATATTGTTTCATTTTATAATATTTATATTTTAAATAAAAACGAAATATTGTTATAAATTATAAAAATGTTTGAAATTACTAAAATTATGTAAAATGTGTGTATTTTTAAACTTGATGTTTTGTGTTATCGTTTATTTTTACTTTTTGTTAAAATAAACATCGAATTAACTTATTAATAGAAATGTAAATCAAAATTATTGTTTATTTTTATTTTAAGTAACAATTGAACTATTGTTGAAAAAAATTGTACCTTTATTTGTAGAATATTATTTTCAAGAATATTTTATGCAAAAATATTTTTGTGCAAGAATATTTTGCCACTCAACCTAAAATATGCAGACGATTGTGTTAAATTGATTACAATGACAATAGTATATTTTTGTTCTTGATTTTATCAATATATGTATCAATTTACGGCTTATTATAATGTGTTTACAACCCAGCATTAAGCAGTGATTATTATATTACTATCTCACGTCTTAATTATATTATTTTAACAAACTGAAATATTATTCAATTAATAGTTAAAAGGAGTTTATGTAAAGTAGTCAATAACCAACTTTAGCAATGATCAACTTTTTTGTTGTCAATACTTCGTATATTTTATAAAATGTCACGTATAAAAAACATGTTACAAAATGTTATAAACAAAATGATGAATGTTAATTTAATTTCATTGGTTTTTCTTATAGTTGTACATTATTGATATTAACGTACTTGTCTTGTGATTGTTTGAAAAATAAAAATAACATTTAATTTTGATTTTTGATGAATATTTTTAAGATCTGTTCAATTAAAAATTGTTATTCTTCATTAAAAATTTTATAATCCATCAATAAAAACCTGTTTTTCTTGCTCTTTTTGTTTATTAACAGTTAATTTAATTGTCGATGTTTATTTTTTGATGACATGGCACTTAATAAACAAGAAAATTAAATAAAATAATGCTAACTTTCAATACAAAACAGGTATGGACTCAATCAAAGGTGAAACACTGTTTTTCATTATCGCCTTTATAATTGAATGACTTTTATTGTTGGGAAGAATATCTTATTACTCTTGGGTCCTTTCGTTGATTCTATTGCCGGTGTGTTTAATTTTGACGATTTTATTAATCTTCATGTTTATACACAGACACGACAAGTTTATTGGTGGATAAATTAAATATTGCCTGAATCATGTTTTGTATTAAAAATCGTGGTGTAATGTTTGAATATATTGATAAATAACTGGTCATAAAAATGAATAATTATTTTATATGTTTTTTATGTTGTTTTAGTTCTACTTCATATTGATTTTAAAATGTATTTACTATTTAAATTATTTACAAACACGTGATTTCTGTTATTATAAATTAAAGTCGTTTTATCAAATTGAAATAAGAAATAGTCGCGTGTTTTGAAAATTATTTCGACACAGTACAAGAAGCTGTTTTTCTTAATAATTTGATTTTTGTATTTAAAAGCAAAAGAGCACTTGAAAACAGTCTAAACAGAATTCGAAGAAACGACAAAAATATGAAAAGTGATATTGAAGTGTTGTCTGTAAACAATGACACTGTCATTTACGAAATCCTCAAAACACAAAAGAAAAGCAAATATCTTAAAGCTCAAATATTAGATTTGCAAAAATTTAATGTCGAAAATGACTTCAAAGTGTTTACAAAATTCGTAAAAACTTCTTCTGCAATTAATTAGAAAGTTGTTGAAAAACAAACTAACTCAACACGATAAACAGAATTACTGCTTTTACAACATCTGTATACCCGTTCTGGAAACTCTTTTTTGTTTAAAGTTGAAAACGAACACCTTGTTATTTTTGTTATCAAAGAAAAGTGTGAAAAATACACAATTGAATTACACGATGATAATATGTATTTTGGACACCAATTGGAGATACTAGATTTGTGATTAAATTATATTGTAAATAAATATTGTTATTAAAGACGAACTTCACATAAAAAGTGGTTCAGAATGTCTTTGAATACAACAGAGAAAAGGATGCTTTATTTGGTAAAGATCTTTGCAATGGTTTATATAATATTGTTTTCACTGACCAATTTTTTTATTAAAAATTTCATATTATTTTGTACATGCAAATGACAAAAATCGGTTTTCGTTTGCATGGAGTGGCACATCTTCTATCGCAATAAAATAATTTAAAAAGATTATAATATTAAAAAAATAATATCATTTAATAAAGTTTATCACAAGATAAATAAATAAATTATTGTGAATAAAATTACAATAGTTTTTTAATTTTATTGTAACGAACTTATTTATTTGATTAATATATAGATGAATAACAATAACAAGCTTCTCATCAAATTTTCATTATTCTAAAATAAGCTATAAAGCAAATAATAAAATTATTATTATTATTACTTAATTAACTATGTTACAATTTTTCACAAATTGAAGAACTGTTTAACAAAAATGTTACCAATAGTGGATAGACCGTTACTCAATGAAGCGGAATTGGCAACAGGACATGAACGACTCTTTGGACCCGATATTTATGTGTTACAAGATGAAAAGAAATCTGAACTACTAAAATCCACATTTGAAGAACTTGTCAAATCATATATTACCACAAAAGACCAACTTGTTTCGACTCCAGATACACTCACCAAAATGTCCGAGTATTATGTCTCAAACACAGAAGTTTCAATAACAAAAGAAGACCGAATGAAATCATTACAGGAGCAAATGGAGATACACGAACGCATCTATGACAAGATGGATGAAGAAGATAAACGTCGAGAAGAAATCAAACAAAAGTGCCACCAGTTACAGTTACAACTCACCACTTTAAAAGAAATTATTAATACCATAATAAAATCCAATAAAAACGATGATCTTACATTTTACAAAACCTATGATGATAATATTTACGAGATGATCGATTTAGAAACAAAATTGTGTGACGAAGAAAAAAGTCCTCTTCTTCTCAAAATTGCAGACATTGAACCGAAGCACTAAAATAAGATTGAAAGATATAAAAACTTGTTAAAAATGACTAGAGAATTTAAATTTAAATCGGAGTTTTTTGGACAATTTGGATTGCCAAAAAACAGCGTCTTTAAAGACTTCCACACATTTGAAAAAAACATCAAAAGTAAATTTGTAAAGGTGCTGTATCAAATAAAAAGGTGTCCCAGACGAAAATGGAATTCAAACCATTTCTAATTCAAAACAGAAGTTCTGTGTTGTTTTTAAAAAGACGGGCAAAGAATTTTATTGTGGATGTTGTGTCATGAAAAGTGAAGGTAAAGAATAAGTGTATCCGTTTTCTATCAAATAAAATAGTCATATCATTTTGGACTTAAAATATGACAATTACTTCATTGATACATATGACAAAACAATCATATTTAAAAATTACACCTTTGAATAAGCAAAACAACAACAGAGGAATGCTTCAAAAATATCAAACTCTCAAAAAATAGTTTATGCTTTAAATGTTATTCATTTTGTTCAAACAACAAGAAAGAATTAATAAAATTTGTATTAAATAAAAAAGATAAAAAGTAAATAACATTAAATACAAATAATTTATCAACAAAAAAATAAAGAATATAAATTTAACAAAAAACAAACGACAAAAGCATAGAATACTTCAACATGACTTGTTTGCAACTCTGATAGAACACTTCAACATGATTTTAATATTGACACAATTATATAGATTGTGAATAATATCAATATACTTTGACAAAACAGTCGAAACAACCGTTACAATGCCTAATCCAGTAAATGCCAAATTTTAAACATTTGATTTTGTTACAAAGTCTCCAAATTAAATTTTTTTTGTTGGTATAGAAAGATGTTACCATTTGAGTAATGTGAACATTAACTGTTCATTTAACAACATAAGATTTAATTTTTGAAATAATCATAGGGATTTGATTTTGATTAACAATCAAATCAAAAAATTGCAAAAGTTAACTTTTGTGTATTTTTAACTACATTGCGTGTTGAAAAGGTTGGATATCAAAGAAATTACTTTTAATGACAGTGTATTTGATTGTTCACTAAAGTTTGTTAACCTTACGATACTGTTACTGTTTTAAATAAAACACAATTTTTTTGAACTTGATATGTTATACAAAAAACTTAACTTGTGGCGACTCTTTTGAAATGCAAACAGTAAACAAACCAATCTCACAAACAATAATTTTTAGGTTTTATTTTTTTCTTCAATTTTTGGAAATGTTTTAATTAAAAAACTAAAAGTATTGGCGTTTTCATCAACAAAACATTTTTTTTTCAAAAAATGTTTTATAAAAGAAAAAAAAGAATTGAAGGTTAATTTGCAAAATTTGAATAAAATTGTTTTTAAAAATGAATCGAACAAAAAAGTTGTGAAAAAACAAGAAGGCATTGAAAAAAATGTCGGTCACCACATAGAAGTTGTATTTAAACATGAAGATAGTTTTGATTATTTATTTTATTATTTTGTTTATAAATTAACATTTTTTTTTCAAAAAAGATTTAAGATTCCATAAAATTTATATAAAAACAATAAAAAATTAAATTTTGAATTTTATTAAATATTTTTATTAAAGTCAGTATATTAAACTTATTTTGAACTTAAACTGTTTGTTTGTGTTTTTTCTGCAATTAAACACTTTTACTGTCAAATTGGATTTAATTTGTAATTCTTTGACATTGAAACAGCTCAACCAAATTACGTGGGTCGACAAGTCACACCTTGACAAACCCGAATTTGTTTGACCAACTCTATTAAGATAAAATCATTACAATAATAACTGTATCAATGATTTTTGGATACAAGAAGTTATTGTAAAAAGTGCTTTAGATATCAAAAATCTCAAAAAACAAATTTATAACAACAGTCCAATAATTATTAAATGTGTATATTGTTGAATTGATGGCAATACTTTTAATATTCTTGATTTTTCTTTGTTTAATAAACTTGGGCCATAAAGTCCGACACGTTAAAACAGTATTTTTTTCTTTGTTTTTCGGGATATTAATATATTTTGTCGAAATTTATACCTGTTTTACTTATCATTATTTTCCCTTATTTCGATTTTTTGCGTCTTATTTTTTGATTTTTAATTTTCTACTCACACTACAATTTCCTTATTTCAAAATCACGAAATATTTTGGTTTATAAAACACGAATAATTAATTTCATACCCAAATTGTATACAAAAATCGCAAATTTAATCAATACTATAACATTTAAAAAAATGAAAATAAAATTATTTATTTTCAATTCGTTGATTTTTACAATAACAACGAAAAACACGACTTAATTATAATTTTATTATTAAATTAAACTAAAAAGTGTATCAAAATTTTATATGGAAACACATGAAATTAATTAAAACACCACAAGTAACAAAACAATTTTTATTTTCGTTATGTTGAAAATATTAAAATATTAATTATATAAATGTAAATATATAATAATTGATTAATTTTGTTTTTATAGATGAAATATAGGTGATTCGAAATACAGTCAATATTCGATATAAGGATTTATTCGATATAAGGGAGAAAAATAAGAGGAAGCCCTTATACCAAATAATAGAAAAAAAAATTAAAAAAAAGAAATTTATGTGTTTGCTTTTTGTTGGTTGTTTCAATTTAAAAACCCAAAAATGGTAATAATTGGATTAATTTGTCACTAAGTTAAAAAGTCAATTAAATTAAATTAATATAAAAACTATGTTTTATTATATTTTTAATTGAACATTTTTAATTAAAATAAACAAAATACAATAATTATAATAAAAATAGATAAACAAGAAAATTTTATTTTGAAATAATACAATGAATGTATTTGCATTCTTTTAAAAAGTATACTTTTCTTGACAACATATAATAATCAATTGGTATTCCCGCTTTACGAACTTAATGTAACCAATTGATCATTACTTCCTCAAGTTCCAGGTTCTGTAGTTTCTTATTCGTTTATACTAGGATAAAAAATTATCAATGTTTCTTTAGAAATTGAACGCAAATGATAAACTTGCTTTGGAGAAATTACTATTTTCAATTGTTGTCCGACAACTTTGATTACTTTTTGTGAATTTTGATAAGGATCAATTAATTCAATAATTTTTATTTTGTCTCGTAACATCAATGATATTCTTATATTAACACATTTAGATTGCATTAAAACTTAATGATTTAACAGATTTATTTGAAGTTTTTAAGTCGAAACAAAATTAGATACAAAAGTTTTATTTATTATGTTAATTGTGTTAATAGATTTGTCTTTGTTTTTTGATTTATTATAAAATTAATTATTTATTTAAGATAAAAATAATTGCCAATTGTTTTCAAGATATAGGCAAAGTGTTTATTTTGGTTAGAAAAAAATAATAATCAAAAAAATAATTTTTGTGACAAAAAACAAACCGAGGTATTTTTTTGTTAATTATATAATTCCTCATTTTTTCCCTTATATCGAATAACATTGGTACCCGGTATTCCCTTATATCAAATAATGACTGTATTAATTGAAATAAAAATACTTTTTTATAATATAATAAAAATTAACAATTATCACTTGTGTTTATTTGACTTTTATAATACTTAATCATTCCATTATTAATTTATTATAGAATTTGTTTAATAATAATATGAAAAGACAAAGCAAATTACATTATTGTTTCATCACAGAAATACATAACAATAATGACATTTGTAAATGGAACACTTTTTATCAATTATTGTGATTATAATAAAATGTATTATAATTATAATTATAGTTTTGTTATACAACAAATATAATCAAAAAATCATATTTTTGTTAATGCTAAAAAACTATTTTTACTTATCAAAACAAAGTAGTTACTTTATTTATAATTTGTGAAAACAATGAATGTTTTAATGAACGTTTTTGTGGGATGAACAAATAAATAATTGAAGAAAAAACACATCAAAAATAATATAAGAATTATAAATGCTCATAACATTTAGCACATTTCCCGTTTTTCTTGACATAATTCATTAATTATTTCAATAAAAATTTTAAAAAATAGCAGAAAAACAAATCCGAAAGTCCGATACGTCGGACTTTGTGTCCGGAGTTTAAATTGAGGGTTTTAATTTTTTTAAATGTTCATACAGAAATCAGAGTGCCAAACAACGTAGTTGTGTTACCAAAGTTTAAAGTGTTTGAATTGGTTTCTAAAGGAAAAATCTTATTCATTTTATCGACACTCAAACTCAGAGTAAAATGGCGAAAGTCAATTTCTAGTGTTCGATAAAAAGCATTGAACTCTATATGAAAAGCTGTTGCAAAATTATATTGTTAAACATGGTATAAGACCAAACAAAAATTACGTTTTATTCACCCCCTAAATGTGAGTTGTTTTCGATGAAAGATAATTCAATTTAAAAATGATGACATTTGAAACGAATGGTATTGATGTTTTTGATTTTTATATTTTTTAAACAAAATACAGTAAAACCTCCCAAGAGCGGGAGATGTGGTAATTTTGTTCTCTCAAGAGCGGGCATTTTTAGCCAATCAAACCTTATAAACCGCTCGATAGAGAACTCTATTTTTAGTTTCAGTCTAAAAAATGCCCGCTCTTGGGAAAACCCGCTCTTCAGAGATACCGCTCTTGGGAGGTTTTACTGTAATTAGCAATTTAATTTCAATAAGATAATATTGTTTGACAGATTCTATTTAGTTTATAACTGTTATAGTCTAAAAACATTTAAAATTTATTTTTTTAAAAAACAACTAAATTTACATTTTCAATTTTAAATAAATAAATTTTTATTCTATGTTTTTATTTTTTAATTAAAATCCCCAAATTTTACAAATAAAAAACCTAAAATTTAGAGATGAACAACTTTAAAAGTTTAACAAAGTATATAAAATGACTTAAATTATAATAAAAAGAATTAGTTTTTTAAATTTATTTATATTTAATAAACGAAAACTGAGAACTTTTTATATGAAACGTTTTTTTGTTATACTTTCATTGTTATATCTTTGCTATTCTAAATACATACAAATCAGTTTAACTGGCCCCATCACGTCTTTAAAATCAGCTGGCTTACTTGCCTCTCCTGGTGACATAATAGAGTTTAATTCTGGTGAATATTCTGGTCAAAGTTTACCATCCAAAGTTAGTGGTACCCCCTCCAGTCCCATAATAATACGAGCTGCTCTCAATGCTAAAGTGACGATAGGTACAAAACAAGGCAATTATTACTGTCTTTCTTTAGTCAACTCTTCGAATATTCACGTTGATGGTCCCTTCACATTACAGCACTCAACTTATCAAGCAGTTTCAATAGAGAATAGTACGAACATCACCATCTCCAACATGAAGATCTACAATTCGACGATGTGGGCTATCTTTGCACGAGGGAGGCACATCCACATTTCAAACAATTATGTTGAGGGCTGTGTGATGCGCAACGAGAACTGTAAGAGTACAAATGGTTGGGAGCAGTGTTTAGCTACCAACGCGATATCTGCATATGGTCCAATCATGTCCGAGAATGTTACTTTTGAGAACAACGAGGTTTATCATTCTTGGGGTGAAGGAATGGACTTAATTTTATGTTCAAATTGTATAGCCCGTGGTAACTATTTTCACGACATCTTCCCAATCATGTTTTATTCAGACAATGGCAGAAACCTATTAATAGAAAATAATATTTTTAGACAATCAAATGGGTCACTCAAGGGCTGTGGCAGTGTAAGTTACCACGCGATTTCCTTTGGAAACGAAAAGTGGCCGAAAGACCCGGTGGCCACTGTTAACATGACTGTCAAGAACAATTTCATTTGGGGGACTTATAACGGCGTCAGTTACTTTGGGGGGAGTGATATAGCACACTACAGTGATATTAATGTCATTTTTAACACGTTTTGGAAATTAAAGGGGTGCGCTCTTCAATTTTTGGAGGAGCCTGTTTTGAAGGGAAATACGAATAACTGCGTGTTTAAAAATAATTTTGTGTACTCTCCAAATGACTATTTCTCCGCTGCTGTTAACGAGAATTACACAAAATTCTGGAACGTCTCTGCAAACGTCTATTATGGAGTTAATAGAATTCAATTGAAAGACACGTGGAACGGGACCGATGGGAAGGCACATTCAATTCGATTTAATTTGACCGAAAGTGGTCCACTCGAGTTCTTTGGTGGCGGGGCGTATGGAAATTGTTCGAATGAAAGTTATTGGAATGTTGATGTGCAGACATATTGTTTTATACCTAATAATAAATCTGTGTTGTATCATATGGGGGTGGACGCAGGGTACAAAGAAATGGAAGGAAAAATCGAAAAAGATTACTTTGGATGTGCAAGAAATAGAGTCAGACCGTCGATTGGATATTCAGAAGGTGATTTTATATGTATTAGCAAGAGCGCAACTTTGGGCAGTACTATCATATTATTATTCTCTGTGATAATTGGAATTATTTAAATTTTAAAAGTGTGAAATTAACATTTTTTTTAAAATTCACGTTTTTGAATATTTCATATTGATAAGTATTTATAACAATATGTAAATTATATACTTGTTGACCATTTTAAGCAGAGGTTTCTAAAATCACAATTTGAATTACCCACGTCACCATTTAATAACAAAATAATCATTTTTTTTAAAAAATTAGTACGTTATAATAATACATTTTCGGCAATATTTATTTTAAAAAATCCTGATTTTAAGTTACTGGTGCGTACTATTATTATAGTAAATTCATAAAAATTTTTAAATGGTTTAAATAAATAATTTTAATACTAATAAAAATTAATAAAAATTCAACATCAATTTATTTACAGTCATAACAAAAAGGTGTCTCGTTCGAAAAAACCTGTCTTGAAAAAAACGAATAAATTAATTGGTATTTTTCATCAAAATGTTATTATTATGTTATATATAACAAAAATGAATAACAAAAGGGAATAACAAAAGGGAATAACAAAAAATGAGTTAATTTGCTTTTCGGGGTCGACCTCTTGGGTTTTTTGGTTTCTTTTCTAATATTGATTTTTCTTCAGGAGTCTTGTTCTTACTGCTTTTTTTCCTTCCTCTTGTAGACTTGGGTTTGGGGTTCGGGCTTCAAATACAAACGTATTTTAGACAGACTTTCTTAAATGATTTGTTCGTCGACTTCGCAGTCTAACAACAATTGTACTTCGTCGTCGATGTTTAGATCGTTTGTTTGATGAGTCTGTTTTTTTCGCAGTTCACAGACTTTAATAGCTGTTATAGAAACCCTAGGAGTTGGAAGGTCTTCATATTTAAACCTTCTTTTCAGTTCCACTCACCTTATTTCATTTTTAACGGAATTGTAAAAAATTATTATTGAAGAAAATCAATTGAAACGGATAAAATTATCCGATAAAAGGATGAAAATCAAATATTTTATTCGGGTTTAATCTTAGTACATTTCTAGTTTTTTTATTATATTTTTTTACTATAATAATCTTCGCGACAGGTTTTTCCAAACGAGACAGGTTTTTCGTGTTACTATATTATAAAACAGCTAATAATTAGTTTATTTTTTGTAATAATATTTATTGTATTTAAATTATATTATTTACCATTAAAGTCAACCAAGTTATATTCTATAATAAGTTACTAGTAAATATATAGTTACTTAAAATAGTATTTTTTATTATTCATTTATCAATATTCTTTTTACATATTATATACTATTATTTATAATTAATTAAACTATATACCATTTGGAAGTCGTTTAACGAGTTTACCACTTTTCTACTGCTTTTAACACCCTTTTAACGAATGAGTCAAATTTCTCTTTCAGTGCGCCAGATGCATATGCGCTCTCAACACAACTCAAATAATCGTCGTGTACAATTGCCTTGCCATTAAACATCTGTTTAAGCACTTCAAAGCTCCCTTTATCTCCAGCGCCCCCAAGACTTAAAGCGACGAAAACGTGTTGTGTTGGTTTCACAGTTTTCAGAACCTCTTTACAAGCGTTTTTCAGTGGAGCGCAAAGGTCCCAGCACCACACAGGCCCAACAAAAACGAGTGCGGCGTATTTGGCAATATTAGCAAGGTTGTCTGTCTTGAGGTAAGACGAGTAGTCATAGCCCAAATAAGACTCGGAGAAACTTGTAAAGTAATTTGTATAACTACTTCTGTTCATCCCATCCTTTTCTTGGATCTGCACAATGTCCGATGGGATGGCAGCGTGGAGGTCGTTGGCTATTTTCTCGGAGTGCCCGTTACGGGAGTAATAGATTATTAAAGCTTTTTGATTTGTTGTAGAATCAAAGTCGACTTGTTCTATTTGCTTGATGTCATCGAAACTCATCTTTGGAAGTATTGTATTTTGAAGTTTTGTGTTTTTTATATTTATATCTGAAAAGAATTGTGCGAGATTTAAATGATTTTATTTTAATTTAACTTTTCAGGTGTTTGATATTCAATGATTTTATTTTTTTATTAAAATTTTTAATATTAATATGAAATAATTATAGTATATACTTGAAATCTTTTAATTAATTAATTGATCTAAATATTGGCTTTTAACCTTTCAAAGTGAAAACTGAATAATTTTTATTCTCGTTTTTATTACTTCAAGATAAAACATTTTTTAAAAAATTTTGTATTTGAACTAAAAAGATCTTTAATTAAAAACAGTGTATCACAAACAAATAAAATTTATGAAGACCCGATAAATCCCAAAGCGCTTTCGTAAAAACTCTTATGCATGTTTAGTTATAACAAGTATATATTATTTTGAACATATGTAAATAGTGAACATTGGTCTGTAAATGCCCTTAGGTTGCGAAAAAACTAATTGATTTTGTGTTTTGAATTTGTTTTTAATCATTCTAAAAATAGATTATGATATAGATAAAACTTATCCAGTTTTCCAGCTTTACACAAAAAGTTGATTCAGTTGACTTGCTAGGGTTAATGTACATTTTTATTTTTTTGTTTTTACCAAAAACAATTACAGATTGAGGGAAAAATGGGTGACAAATACAAAGGAATTTAGCTTCATTTACTTATGTTTTTGAACCTATTTGTGTATCCATAAATTAGCCTTTCCCTTGGTTTAATGTTTGTAATTATTGCTTTTTGAGGGACCGTCTTTTATCACTTTTACTCTGTAAAAAGTTTGCACTCTTTTTGATGTGTCATTTTTGTTTATGTTATTATTTAATAGTTTTTTTAAATCAAAACAACACTAAATATCATAACAAACACATATTTTTTTAAAAAAATGACAAATCACGAACATAATAATTACTCATATTGAAAGTTGAAATACAAGACTTCAGTGTTCAGATGTTATAAGTGCTATACATTATTAATGGTTTTTTCATTTATTATTTTTGTTATATTATTTTTTGGGGGGAATTTTAATTTTTACTATTTTTTAAATATTTTATAATTATAATTTATAATTATGTTTATTGTAATTTGAATACTATAATATATGGTACATATTGTCCATTTTCAGTCAATTAACCATTAAAATATAAGTTTAGCTTATCACTTACCCTACAGTAATTTTACTGAATAAAAACGACACGGATTATTAAAATTGTTGTTTCATTTGTAATAAAAACATTTAAAAGTAAAACCATATTAATGTTTATTTTGTTTCCAATAAATTGACGACTTCATTAATATTTGGTCTATCGTCTGGTTGTTGACTCCAACATTTTTGTATCAATTCATATTGACTGTCACTCATATTTTCATTTCTCTCAAGTCGTTTACCCGAAATCACAAATTCTGCTATTTTCCATGGAAACTTAAACACGTTTTTATCGTACGCGTCTCCCCATTTTAACGTTTCGTACAAAGTGACGCCAAATGAATAGATATCTGCACTCTTCTTATACTTTTCTTTTTTTAACACCTCAGGTGCCATATACACTGGTGTTCCAACACCTTTAGTGAATGTCATGTTAGTCATCAATAAATTGATATTTCTTGCACTTCCAAAGTCAGTTAATTTCGCATTCACTTTGTCGTTAATATCAAGTGAAAATACAAGTAAATTGTCTGGTTTGATGTCTCTGTGTACAATCCCGTTTGTGTGTAAGTAAAGCAACCCATTTGCCATATCATTCATGACTTTTATTTTAATTTCTTTTTGTATTGTTATTTTCTTTTTGTTCTTTATCAAGTCGTTTAAACTGCCAAATTGAGCAAATTCAGTGACCATACATATCTTGTTTGGTATGAACACAGCACCATAGAAGTGGACCAAATAGTCACTTCTAAATTTGTCCAACATATTCACTTCCTTTTCAAATTCTTTCATTTTGATTTCGTCATTGCACCCCTCTTTCATTTTCTTAATTGCAACTTTGTATCCTCGAAATTCACCCAAATACACAATTCCAAACGAGCCTTCACCAAGTCGTTTTTCCTCATGTAACTCGTGATAGTCGAGGTGTGTTGTCATTTGGGTTTTTGCACTTATTTGTATTTGTTGGATCATTTGTAAACCGTTTTGAATATCAAGACCAACACATACAATTTTATCTTCGATGTTGCAAGAACAAATTGGTGTTAAAAACATCTCAAATTCACACGCTTCTCCACTTTTTAAATTTACCAAACTTGGCTCCGTTCTGATGTTGTAATTTTCACATCCTTTTAAAACACTAAACTGGATTTTAATTGCATTTTTTGACTTGTTTCCAACACACAACACCTCGCGCGTTTCTTTACCAACTGGAATGTCGCTGTTTTCATTGTCATCGTTAACAAAGACGAGTGTTTTCTTGTTGGATACAAGCCATTCATTGATATCATAAAACGTAATATTTGATCGCTTCATTTTGAATACACAAACATTCTGCATCTTCTTTTTGTTTCCAAAGTAATTGTACAAATAGGAAAGTGTAAATAATAGTACTATAACTACAATAATAACTATTACTACAAACGTGACTGATAGACTTGTTATTAAAACTGTGTTTGGGGTGTCTTCACATGATTTTCTATCATCACTAAGTTGTTTACCTTGACTACATTTCAAACATTCACCATTAAACGCTGCAATACAAAACATAAAATGAGTATAATGAACACACTTGTTGTTGACATATATGTTGTCTTTTTGGCACACCTCGCATGAGTATTGATCAATACACTTTGTACAGTTTTCAATACATGTTTTGCACCGAGGTATATATGAGTCCAAGTAATAACCCCCTTCACATCGTTCACAACCAAATTGTGTTTTATCTGCGCATCCAACAAGTCCTGAATAACTTTGACACGTCAACATTTCTGATGGTATCAAAAAGTAATTCAGTTTGCATGTTATACACGAATTCAAATCTTTACACACCGCACAAGTCGAGTCACAAGTAACACAATCACTTTTTTCTCTGTAATACCCCTCTTGGCATAATGCACATCCAATCATATTTGGCATTTCTTTTTTGCACTTTTTGAAAAAGTCTTCTGTTCGTTCACATGTATTGTCTTTATTTAAAAACTCCAATTCTGGACGACACGACAAACAATGTGTCGAATTGAAACACGTTGTACAGTTGTTTTCACATTTGTTGCAACTGCCGTTTGTTAAGTAATATCCATCCAAACAGGAAATACACCCTTTTGATGATTTAATTTGACATCTATCTGTTTCACTCTCAATTTGTTTGAGTTGGTCGTTCTCTTTTGTACAATTCCCATCATATAATAGAAATCCATTATTACACTCAAATATAACAACTGTGTCATTGATAAAAGACTTCGTGGCATATTTGACATCGTTGCCAATTAATTTACAGTATTGTGTATCAATTGTGTTTTTTTCAACTTTTATATACATCGGCAAACACTTTATACATTTGTTTGATTTTGATTGTTGACAATTATATGTTTCTTTTGTTTCACATTGATTGGTTGTTGTCAATAGATACCCGTCTAAACAATTGATACATTTACCATCGAGACAACTTAAACAGTTTTCTAAACCACAATTGATACACACATTTTCTTTAATATAAGTATTGGTTTTGGCAACACAACTCACACAGTCATTTCCATCAACTGTGTCACATTTATTTTTTAAAATACACATGTCTTCTTTTGTGTTAATCACATTATTATTATCACAATTAATGCCATGGATTTTAGAATTCACCATTTTACATTTAATGCTATTTGTTTGATCATCTTTACAATTATGACACAAATTATTATTATTGAGGTATTGATCGATTTTACATTTGAAAATTACACTGTTTTTGTACAAGTCGTCTTTGTTGTCATTGTTACAGACACCACTTGTATCAAAATTGGACCCGTCGTTGCATTGAAGACATATTGTCGTTGTTTTATTTTTATAATAATATTTACAATTCGACTCTTCACAGTTTCCAGTCGTTGTGATTCCATTTCCACAATTTTCACAGGTGATTTTTGAGTTTGTTTCACACAAATTTTTGTTTTCAAAAATTTCACATGTTTTATTCCTTAAATGATAATCAGTTTGACATTTCAAACAATTATTTTCTCCATTCTGAAGTTCACAATTTCCGTTGTTATTTACACAAACATTTCCAAAATAATTTGTGTAGCTTTGACATTCAACGCAACTGCCTTCAATGAGTTCAAAAGGCGGATAACACACTTTACATTCCGCTCCATAATTCCCATAATTTTGACACATCTTACATTTGGGTTTAATGTTGTAACATTCGTCACAGGTACTTGAATTGTTTTGGTAAAGGTAACTTGGACATTCACATTGATAATTATTGACTACAAATTTATCTTCACAAGAAATACATTGATACTTTTCAGTTTGACTGCATGTTACACAATTTGGCATTTTACTGCATGGTGAGCCATTGTTTC